CTCATGGATAGGAGGAAGCTCTGTTTCCTTAAATCTTTCTTGAGAATCTATATAATCATAAGGATAAACTCCTTTACAACTTGCTAATGAAATTTGATCTGAAGAATAGTTTTTAAAGTGCTGACTTGTACAGTATAGACAAATTGAAAAATAACTAATTAACTTGTATTTATAAAATAATTAAAAAATACTAGTTATAGTATGTATTAAACGTATCAAGCTTTAAAAATATTAAATTTATCTACTATAATCTATTATTTGTAAAGTATTGCTTATTTCTAAAACTTTGTTTTTTTAATTTCCCATTATGATTTTTTTTTGTAATGCTTGTTACAAGTTTTGAAATGTCTTTGTATTAAATGATTTGAATTTGTTATATAGATCACTTCTAATTTTACTTATAATACTATATTTTTGCGAAATAATGTGCAGGGGTGTAATTTCAAATTTGATCCAAATTAAGCTTAGCTCTGGGCATTATTCTAAATAATGTCTTTTGTTATTTTTTGATTTTTTTATGCATTACAATATATAGTAATCATGGTTTTCAAAATTAAACTCTACTAATAACTCCTTGTAAATCATGATTATAAATTGTCGGTCGGTTAATACCATTATTAACCGATGAATTTCGAGCATCGTTTGGTTACAAATTTTAGAAACAGTTAAATTTTAACTTTAACTAATAATTGATGATAACCGAAATGAAAACTCGCTTAATGGATGGATGATTGAATAGTTTTTCACCTATTCCACTCTCTATTTGGCCAATCTAACAAGTGATCCTTCTTTATAAATTTTTTTGATAAAATGTGAATTAATAACAATTGATTGGCTAGTACTATACATGCCGCGAAGCAGCACATGTTCAATGTCAGGTTGAGCCAAATTAATCAGATTTTTATTAAATATATAGAATTATAAATGGGTTATTTCATTTACTTTACAGCACTTAATGAGTATTAAAAACATTTTAATATTTTCTATTTATAGTTTTGCATGACAACGTCGTGTCAGCTACTTATTTCAATATATTGTACTAAGTGATGTTTCAATGTTTATTTAAAACATAATTGGTATCTATCTTGATATCATTTGTATGTAAAAATGGCACATCTGTTTGTTATGTCGATTACCGAATCGAAAGAGTATTAAGTGCAAATTTTAATTTGCTTTATATCTGATATTTTGATATACTTATATAACTAAAATTTTGTGCTGAAAACTTTTATTTAGAGTCAAACTACTATTATCATAGTAAAATCTTAAATTATTTATGATTTTTAATGAGAAAACAGAAAAATCATCAATAACTCAAGATTTTACTATGATAACCATAGTTTGACTTCTAAATAATAGTTTTTAGCATGAAAAAATTTAGTTATATAAGTATACCTAAATATTAGATATAAAGCAAATTAAAATTTGCACTTAATGCTTTTTTGATTCGGTGATTGACACAACCTATTACAGAAAACGGACGTGTATAAAAATGTAGTAATATAATAACTATGATTATATTAACTAATCAAAAGCAAGATTTTGGGCTGATTCCACTATTAAGCCATATGCTCTGTTTCACTTCCACTCTTGAAATGTTATCTTATTTAAATTATGTTACTTTTTGATTTTATATTTATACAACTAACTTATCAAAATCATTATATAAATATACTAATATAAATTAGTAAAAAAACACAAATGTTATAAATATTTATTTATTCACTGCAAATATATATCATCACCGTTTTCGGAATAGTTGAAATGAATACTTGAATATTGGCACAATAATCACATTAATTAAAAATCAATTTCAAATTATGTACATACGTATATATGTTAGTGGTTGTTTATTATTATTGCTAATGTAATCAAGTATTCGAGTATTCATGATATATATTTTCAAAAATAGCGATAAATTTATTTATTCATTTTAGAGAATTACTTTGTTTCACCATCACCAGTATAGTTTTTAGAGTTATAATATATTTTTAAGTGTGTTTTTTTTTATATAATATAATATAGATTAGATATAGGGTTTTAATTTTAGTTCTCGTGAGGTTTTAAACATTTTTACTTAGAGTACCTAATCCCATTTACTTAGTAAATTTTTGAGATATAGCAACAATATAGTTTTTAGGGTTAGAATACATTTTTAAGGGGGGTTTTTTTTATATAATAATATATATTAGATTTAGGGTTCTAATTTTAGTTCCTGTGAAGTTTTCAGGGATTCTGAACATTTTTACTTAGAGTTCCCGATCCTGTTTACTTAGTGGATTTTTGAGATATAGCAACACTGGTGATGATCACCAGTGGTGATAAATAGTAAACCTCTTTATTTTAATATTAAAATTATCAAATTAATGCTTTTACATGATATATTCTCAAACATGATTTTATCCTATTGCTTAGATTACCCTATTTCATTTGTATTAAATATAGAATAAAATTTATCTATATTACAATTCAACTCACTGATTATTTACTTTAGTAAGAACTTGACTCAATACAAATGCTTCCTTTCCTTTGAAAGCAATTCCACATAAAACCAATTTCATTAATTTTTCTTCTCCAAGAGTTATGTTAATCTATCTTTCGCACTGTCTTGTAAATCTTTATAGTTGTTTTTGCATTTTTTTAAAACTTTGATGATGTTAAGGCAAAGACCAAATTTTGCAATAAGCTTATGAAATTTTTTAATAGTTTGGATTTGAGAAGTATTGGACTAGTAAGATGCCCCAGAATATAAATAAAATAAAAAATCTTGCAAAGCAAGATTAATAATATAAATAAAGCAGCAAATATAGTCTTGCCTTTTAGTAAAAGAACTATCAACACCTATAGAAAGTGATTCAAATACTTCAAGAAGAGTGTTGTTATTTGACAGTTAACCCAGAATGCAATTCTTCGAACAGTACAAGATCTAGTCCTTATTAAGCCAGTAGGTATGACTTTTAAAAATATGGATTGTATTCCATAATTATCGGAGTTTCAAATTCTACTTGTGGTTTAGGATCAATTCTTAAATCAAATCAACCAAATCCCTCTTCTTGATTTTATTTTATTTTGTATCCTTGAAACTGTGCTTGTGAAAGTAATTCAATTATGAACAGGTGGTAATCATTTTCTGACTGATTATTTAGAATATCATGAAAAGAAAGCATTTTGATTATCATATTCTCTCGAACTTATGCATATTACCCCTTAGTAGCATATCAGTTCTGATTCTTTCAAACACTTGGCCCATAAAATCGCCATATTAGAAAAACCAATATTTATTCCCGGTTCTTATTTATACTTCTATACTATTCCTTCTCAATTATTGTCCAGATTTCGGATTCAGGCTGATCTGAAATTTTTATAATTCTTTTGATTATATATCTTTTTACTTTTTTTTTTAATGATATATGAAATTCAAACTATTTTAAACTATTAGAGTTACAAAGAGTAAAAGTTGCTGCTAAAAAAAAATAAAAATAAAAAAAACGAAAGAGATTTTGTAAGCCAGACTTTATGAAATATGCAATTTTACTTTGAAGAAATAGTATAGAAGTATAATAGAACCTGGGAATAAATCAGTTATTATCCGCAAAATGGACATAATCAAATATCAATTTGAAATTTCTTCATGCAGGTCTTTGGAATCAATATCTGTTAATAGGATGTCATACTTTTCTGGAAGATAATCAACATCAATTATATCGAACAAATCTATCTTCTCTTTATTAGCCATCTTGGTTCTATTTAACTTTGTTGATTAAAGATTCATCCGTCTGAATTAGCACACTGGCTGCATCAGCATTCCGTCATTATCCGATCATCTGATTCTTGGTTATTGCCCACTTCGTGGACAATAACTGTTAACTTTTTTTTTAATCACTATGTTACGTAATATAAAAATTATAATCTTGCGGAGTTAGTAAAATGGGGTCTGTTTAGGGACTTATCAAACACCCGGTATACATATTGACCAAAGTTGTATAGAGATTCCAAATGCTAATAATGTTTTTCCACCTCCTTAAAACCCAAAGAGAACAATTATATCTTTCGGGTGGTTTATCAATTTTTTCTGCACAAGATAAACCATTTCTTTGAATTGGAAATCCAGCATTGTGTCAACACTGATACTTTTCTTGTAGTAAATCATGTAGTTTTATTTCAATCTTCTTATTTATTCTATAATTTTCGGGTTGGTAAGCCACATTGGCTGTGGGGTTTTGGAATTGAATCTGCCGTTAGTTAAAAACTATTGTAATTGGTTATTAGTAAACAGTTAGTAACTACCAGTGAAAGTAAAGAACTAACGGCAAGGACTAATAACTACCAGGAATAGTATCGAACTATCAAAGTGAAGAAAAAGTATCGTTTTGGAGAATAAGGCTGTTCTCAAGCATCTAAATCAATTGATTAAAGAATGATCGTGATAACGCTCAAGCATCACAATCAATGGCGATATTATAGAATTAAATGCTTGAGCATACTCTTTTCTATTTTTCATGATCTTCGTTATGCCGACGTCCAAAAAATCCAATAAAAAAACTCCGTTCAACCGACTGCCGAATCTTCAGCTTCGGTTATGTCGGCTTCTCCCTTTAATGATTTTACCAATATTAACCTTTT